TAAGCATTTTATATTGGTGAGCATTTTACTTCTACCCATGTGCGGTCTTCATGGCACATTCTGATAGAGTAATTATATTTATAATTGGCAATGCATTATTGTTGGAATTTAATCAATGATTTTGTATAACGGATCAGATTAGAATTCAATCGCTGCTGACGGCTCCTCGACCACTGCAATGAGTGAACAATATTGATTACATGCCACTATGATTTCTTTCGGTTAGTTTTCACTGATACCACACTATCCATGTCCATAAACCGGTCTACAGTGGGGAAAGGCAACCACAAAACAACTGTGTGCACTCTCTTTAGTTTTTGGCATCGATGAAGCAGCGTTGACGTTTTAGACGAACATTGCATGCCAGGTACAGTCACGTGGCCAAGTATTCCTTTACGGTGTCGATCAAATGCAAAACTCTTAGATTAATGCAATTGAAAAATAAAGGAAGTCAACTCTGGTCCATAATAATGGCATCTGTCATGAAGTGCAAATAAGAGCAGCAAATAAATAAACACGTTTGCTCAAATCAGAACTCATCATTAACATTATTATTCATCTTGAGGTTTTCTGGTTGGATTTAATAATGGATAAAGGATTCAGGGGACAGGGCAAAACTAAGAATGTTGGGAGCAAACACAAAGGAGAATCAATATCTTCTGTATAAAAATCCAACAATGTCAACATAGGGGGAACTAGTGAAGCGTATAGAAATACCACATCTTTGCTCTGTCCTCCGTAGAAGGACTATACACGTACGTCCATATGATGGTTGCTTCGGATATTTACAACTCAGTTGAATGATGAGTTTGGTCTGTTGAGTTTGTCACTCAACATTCGTTTGTTGCATTGTGGCAGCACGTAAAAGTACAGAACTCAATCTACTTCGAGCCTTATTAACCCCAGAGGGCTCAATGGTCGTTACGCTAGTGGGTAGCATGGTTGTGGATTNATTAGTCGTTGTCCCCGTGGCTGATGGGGTCTGGTTGGTTGCTGTCTGCCCCAAACCCAAAGATCCAGTGACAAGCGAACCGTGAGGTGAAGCAATAGACACACGTTGAGCTAATCCAGATCCGGTTGTTTGTTTAGAACCTCTGTTGGATTTACCAGTTAGAGTGCGTTTGGAAGTTGCGATTTGTGCTTTCGGCGATCGGTTTCGACGAATAGCTTTTGCTGTGGCCTAAAACAGTACAAAATGATGTGAAACTGAAGCATGAGGAATGAAGTGCCCGGAAGTTTTTAAAACAGTGTGAGTGGAACTGTTTCAGTCTGAAAACATACAGCACTGCGTGATGTCTAAAAGGCCGCTCATTCAAACAATAAATGA